TTGCATAGTCAATAAAACACAAGTAAATATCTTTCTGGTATTCTTTGCTTTGAGCCAAGATCCATCTGACATCAGTAATGATATCCCTCATTCCACGTTCTCTCCTGAAACCAGCCTGCATTTCTGGAAGTTCTCTGTCAGTATACATTTTGCATTTAATATAGCCATTTTAAAACCTTTGTCTGCTAAATTCAACATATAGGCCAGCTTTTGAGTTTTTCCTAGTAGCCTCTGTTCCTTAAAGAAGGTCACACTCTCCTCTTTATCTGCCTATCTAGTGAATCACGGTTGAAAACCTGACACTAGTGGTGGGTCAGCAAACAAAGCCCATGACTCCTCTTTATATAATCCACCAGCTGAGAATTATTTTTGTATTTTTAAAGTTTTGTTTAAACTAAAGATGATGAGAAACAGTAATATGTAACAGATGACACATGGCCACTGGAGCGGGGTCTCATACGTTTTCCGTCAGCCCAGTGCCCCGCAGCTCCTGCTCCTACGTGATCACCTGCCTGTGTGGGCAGGGCCTGGCATTCCTCTCACCAACAGAATGTGGCCATGCTGACAGATACCATGTCAGTGCCAACATGTAACAGATGACACGTGGCCACTGGAGCGGGGTCTCATATGTTCTCCGTCAGCCCAGTGCCCCGCAGCTCCTGCTCCTGTGTGATCACTTCTCTGTGTGCACAGGGCCTGGCATTCCTCTCCCCAATAGAATCTGGCCATGCTGACAGATACCATGTTGATGATCACATTCCATAAGACTCAACTTCCGGTCTTGCCAACACTCTCTTTGCTGGTTTTTGTAAGATAAGCTATTAAAAGCAGAGGCTCATCAGGTAAGAAAATGAGGTCAGCCTCAGACCAGTAGTCAGGCGGAAGCTGAAGCCTGCTGGGGCACCAACTGCAGGGAACTGAACCATGCCAGCCTCCATGGGAGCTGGACGGCAGACCTTTCCCCAGATCAGCCTCGTATGGGAACCATCCTGCCCACATCCTGACTGCTGTCTTGAGAGAGGCCTTAGCAGGGGACCCAGCTAAGCCAGGCTCAGTCCTGACCCAAAGATACTGCAAAATCACGCATGTGTGCTGCTTAAAGCCACACAGTTCTGGTAATGCTTTACACGGCAACAGACAGCTAATGGCCCTCTCTAGGAAGTTAACTAAGCACTGCTATGGACCTATGGACGGTGCCTCACGGGAACTCCAGGGTCAAAGATCTTCTGAGGCCATCGAAAAGGTAGCATCTCCACAACTCAGCTCAAAACCCCTTGACAAGGAGCTTCCCTGCTTCCTCGGATGGTCTCAGATCTGCTTGCATGGCATGGTGCACACACATCTCACAGAAAGCATCCAGGGGCAAATACCTACAGGCACAACGCCCTGAGGTGAGAGTCAGCCTGCTGTGTGAGACAATGACCCAGCGGAGGAAATACACGTCTATGTTCCACGGCCCCCAGCAACATCCTGATGTGTTTGCCTTATTGATGCCTGCCAGCCCTTGGACCAGAGACCGGAGCACTTGCGTTGGGTGTTGGTCACCATGGAACCCCTAACTGAGCATGCACTCCTCAGGGACGCCCTGAATAAGAGTGACTGAGAGTGTAAAGGAGGAAAGGAAGCGGGCAGCCACCAGCCGATACTCAGAGTGGACAATACAGTCAAGCCCTGACACACTCATGAACGTTACGGTAACAGACCACCAGCAACCTCTGCATCTGGTGAGACTCTCAGACACAACACTCAGTGGCACCTGGTGGCTATGTCACTATTCACCAAAGTTTTCACTGAGTTTTTTAAATAATGGAATTAATCTTCATCTGATCTAGTGGCAGAGGCTGGAGAAGAGTCTAAGGGGAAAAATAACAGAAGACCAGCGCTCAGGCCACTCACGGCCTCTCCTCTCTTCCTGTCACCTCTGCTGAGCTTCTTGACTTACCTGACAGATTCCACCCCTTCCAGCCCGTGACAACACACGAGCCCATCTTGTCCTTGCTTTGACGGGATCCCCTTATTTTGTACTTACTCTTTCAGAGCCAGGGTGATATAAGCAATTTGGGAGGTCTGGTAGCACAGTGGCTAAGACACTTGACTGCTAACCAGAAGGCTGGAGGTTCAAACCTACCAGCCACTCCTCGGAAGGAAGATGGGGCAATCTACTTCCGTAGTGATACTGCCTCGGAAACCCAAGGAGGGGTTGCCTGAGTCAGGGCCAACTTGACGGCACATAACAACAACAACAACAACAAAGGTTGGCTGCTCAAAGCCACCCAGCAGCTGTGCGGGAAAGGCCTGGCAAACTGTTTCCATAAAGATTACGGCCAAGAATCCTCAGGAGCAGTCCTATTCTGTCACACATGGGGTTGCCAGGAGCTGCCATCCACTCTACAGCAACTGACAATATCAGAATCTAAAGCAGCTCCACAAGCAAGATAGCAAATCCACAGCAATGAGATCCACCCTACCACATCCAGGTGGGACCGTACGTGCCAACATGAATGCAGGACGACTGTATCAGCCTATTGAAATACAGCAAAGCCACAGCAATGAGGCACACTCTACCACACCCAAGGGAGACTGTATGTGTTGCCTTGAACGCAGGATGACTACATCGGCCTACTGACAATCACGTAGCCACGTCACTTATGCCCTCTGCTAAATGCATAAAACGTAAAATTCTTTTAAAGATACCCAACGGTCTTAGCTGAAAATATAGATTGAAGTACAATGCTGTGAAAAAATAAAATAAAATTAGTGCATTTTTAGCAAAATGCCCCAATCTAAACATACCTTCCTTCAGTATGCTGTAGCAAAACAAGCGAGCTCTCTCCAAGTCTCCCAGCTGCCGACAGACACCCACGTACACTCTGCAGAGGGCGTGGACGTAACTGTGCTCCGTAGCTGTTTTCTGGGTATGCAGCTCGGAAAGGATGGAGTGCAGCAAGCACTCTGCCAGGTGCTGACGGAAGAAAACATGAGAAGGCACTGTACACGGGTGGCTACCTTCAGTCCCCCTAACAGCTGACACTTCCAAGTATCTGCTGAACAAAGAAAACCTGCAATGCATCAGAATGCAGACCACGGGGACAGGCAGGGTGGTGGTGCTGTTAGATGCTGTGGAGTCAGCCCCAACTCACAGCGACCCTATGTACAATAGAATGAAACACTGCCTGGTCCTGTGCCAGCCTCACAATCCTTGCTATACGTGAGCCCAAGTGGGGTAGCCAACTAATTTTAAGTCTTGTAAGTGGCAAGAGCCTGGGGGTTCAAGAAGTCCCTACCTGTGTGTCTTCTCCTGTCACTGATGCTGCAAAGGCCATATAGTAAGTCTGAATACACCTGTTGGCCTACTGTCACTGTCACCAGAGAACACATGGTAATTTCTTGGTATTAGCTAAAGTAATTTATTGGCAGGTTATACCCACTCGAACTTCACTCCACCGATAGCTAGCAAACTCCAACCTACTGCATATGTTCACACTGCTTAATACTTTTCAAACACTGGGTAACACTTTTCTAGAACAAGGAAGACGTTAGATAATTGCTTTAATAAATGTGTTTCATGATAAGCATCCTTTCAAAGTCGTGTACACTCCTGCTCCCACCGAAGGCAAGCAATGCAAGAGAAGTGACAGACCTGTGCCGTCATGACTGAGGCTGACCAATGCAGTCTGATCCGTGAAGCCTGGAAACCATCCACACGAGGCATCCAGGTGGGTGTGTACAAACTTACAAACCTGTAGTTTGCCTATTACAAACCACATACATGGATGTGCACATCCCTGTCCCACCCATCATGAACATATGCATTCATTACGGCAGGGAGGGGCCTCACACACTATCTTTTTGAAAGACTCCAAAAACACTTAAACGTGTAGATCACAGCACTGAGGAGTCAACCATGTAGACAATCCCACTGGGGGATCAGCCACGTAGATCACACCACTGGGGGATCAGTCGTGTATATCACACCACTGAGGGGTCAACCGTGTAGCTCACACCACTGAGGGGTCAGCCGTGTAGATCACACCACTGAGGGGTCAACTGTGTAGATCACACCACTGAGGGGTCAGCCGTGTAGATCACACCACTGAGGGGTCAGCCGTGTAGATCACACCACTGGGGGATCAGCCGTGTAGATCACACCACTGAGGGGTCAGCCGTGTAGATCACACCACTGAGGGATCAGCCATGTAGATCACACCACTGGGGGATCAGCCATGTAGATCACAACCCTGGGGGATCAGCCGTGTAGATCACACCACTGAGGGGTCAAGTGTACAGATTACATGACTGGGGGGTCAACCGTGTGCATCACACCACTGGGGGTCAACCGTGTAGATCACACCACTGAGGGGTCAGCCGTGTAGATCACACCACTGGGGGATCAGCCGTGTATATTACACCACTGAGGGGTCAACTGTGTAGCTCACACCACTGAGGGGTCAACCGTGTAGATCACACCACTGAGGGGTCAAGTGTACAGATTACGTGACTGGGGGTTCAACCGTGTGCATCACACCACTGGGGGTCAACCGTGTAGATCACACCACTGATGGGGTAACCGTGTAGATCAAAGTGTACATCATACCACTGAAGGGACAGGGAGGGTGTGGCATGTGATGTCAGGGATGCTTTGCAGTCAATCATCCTGAGCCCCTAAACAGGCCAGAATTAAACAGAAAGAGGCATTTTAACCCTGGCATTTTGTTTTTCTTAAAGTTTTAAGTTCTTTGGCTACAAATGGTCAAATCACCAGGGTGTCACAGATCAAATTTAAAGGCTGGCTAGAAACGCAGTGCTTGTCCTGCTTCCGTGAGTCCTCTCAGGCAGACAGAACATGGTTCGGGTCAGCCACTCCTTTTGTGGCAAGCTGACAGCCGTCTCTGAGAGTGGGAGGTCCCTAGTGCAGAGAAAGTGGAGCAGGCACGTACCTTTTTTGTTGTGCTAAATTCATAAACCACTTCTTTCTCTTGATCTCTCATGACAGGCTTTTTGGAGATGTTCCCCACATAGACATGGCTGCGAATGACAGGTAACAGATCGAAAGACGCCTCTGCAATTCTCTTCAGAGCACTCGTTATGGTCTGACTGTGTGATCCCACAATTTCTTTGGGGTTTAAAGGCAATTTTGAAACTGTGTTAGCAGCTGGAGCAAAACAACTTCTTTCCCCGTTTGTTGGTACAACTTCAGGTTCAGAATAGTTCCTTCGGAGGTTCCTACCACCTCCTTCTGCCCCAGCCTCCCTGGTCTCTGATTCTGGGGACCCACTGTCCAGGCGTAACCGCTTAGCACTCCGTGGTATGGATGCCGACAATGCCCGCTTCCCACTGGAGTCCTGCCAGGCCCCTGAATCACCTGACTTATCTTGGTTACAGTCACTACCGCCACTGCCCGCGGTCTTCACGAAGGCAGTGGACGTGGAGGCGATGGCTCTGAAGCGTGTGACGGCACCGACAGGCCCTGGAGAACTCTTGCAGTCTGCGGGTGGGCCTCTGGGGGGCTGGGTGCTCCCCTTCAAGATGCTGAGGGTCCGGGCCCTGGCAGACAGCTCTGGGTACATGGTGTCGAGGATTTTAACGGAATTCTCCTGGGTGCCCCCTACAGCAGTGGGGCCAGGTGCCCGTGCAGGGAGTCGGCCGGGCACGGGAAGTGCGTGCTTTGGGGTGGCAGCACAGAACTGCAGAGGAGAGGACAGTGCCCTCTCGCTGGCTGGCACAGCGGATGGAGAGGGAGCAGCACAGGAAGGAGAGATACGCTCTGAGTCTTCTGGCAAAGGTGACGTCATGGGAGACGTCGGCGCATCACCTAACGGAGAAATCCGGCCCACGGGAGAGGCTGGAGAGGAAGGACTGCAGCTGGACCCGAGAGGCGAGACCGGCCGCAAAGTCCTGGGAGGCGTTGCTATCAGAGGAGCAAGGAGAGGCGGCAAGGGGGCACCCACCTCCTGCCGTATCTTGCTCAGCGTGTCGGTGGAACATTCTGGAGGCGTGGATGTATCAGCATTGGCTAGAATGGTCTGAGGTTGCCTTTGCTGAGGTTTTGAGCCGCCTCGTTCTCCTGACAATGACTGAGAAACTTCACTCTGATCCCTTTCAGCTCTGCTTGGTGCTGAAGGCTTTCCTGGTTTGGTGGGCTGGTCTTTGTTGGAAAGTTTGGCTCGAATTTTACTTTTGCTGCACGGCTCGAGTTTGGAGTTACAATACGTGTGATCAGAGGCCGCAATCTGAGGCTCAAAGTCCTGACTGTATATCTGAGAGCTAATCCGCACACTGGGTCTGACGGGCCTATTACGCAGCCGACTTTTATCAAAGTTGGCACTCGGACCACTGCTCGAAGCATCCTCCTGGCTGCGTGAAGTGGGACTGTCACCCCGAGGCTCCTGAAATGGAGAGTCCGCCTGACATGTTTCTGGGGACTTCTCCGCAGTAGTGACTGCAATGCAGTCAGCTTCCAGGCCTGGGTCTGGGGCAATCTGGGTGTCCCCAAGGGCGTCACACAGTATGACCTGGTCCACGCCTGGCATGACCGCCACACCATTTATGACTGTCCAGCTGTCCCCCTTTTCAATGACTAGGTTTTGATCCTTATTTACAAGCACACTGATAACCTCGGAGGTCCCTGTCACCCTCTGACACTGAAGCCCATGAGAACTCTGCTCAGGCACCTGCCCTGGCCCCAGACATGAGCCCGGGTGAGCTGGCTCCTCAGATTTCAACAGGGCCTCCTCCTCACCACCCACCCGCCCGGCCACATTGTGAGTGGCCTCAGGTGTGCACCGAGGGGCTTTGTCCTGAGAGCCAGCGCTGGCGGGAGAGCTGCCTGTGCCGGCGTGGGTCAGCGGCAGTGGTTCTGAAGGGTGTGAGCAACAGGGAGCTGCTCTGTGAGGTAGAGCGTTTTCTTTCACATCTTCAGCTGTCACGGTAGACAGGTTTAAGAGCAGTAAATCCCCCGTGTCTGCAGCGTCGGGGCCCCCATCACGTGCTCCAAGGTGTGGCCTAATCGTGGTGAGAACCTCGGAGAGTGTTTCCAGCGCGCACTCGGGAAGCGGACTTGCATCTCCTAGAGGACAGTCCTCTTCTTCCAACACAGCCGACCCCTCGGAGGTCCCTGGTGTCACCTCCTCGTAGAGCTGCGTTTGGTGCCGCTCTCCTGAGTCTCTGCCTTCCCTCAGCTCTCTGCTCATTTCCGTAGTTACAGCTCCTTTGCTGGAACATTCCGACACAGAGTCCCCAGAACTGCAGTCTCTTAACTGACAGCTTTCGAGGAACCTGACCACCTCCGATGTGGACAGTCTGTCTATTTCAGAAAGAGCACTGATGTTCACGTCTTGCAGAGCCGAGGTCAGGTGACCCAGCTCTATGGAAGGCCTGGTCTGGAGGGCGTCCGCGTCTGCGGAATCGGTTAGGAGGTCGTCCTTGGAGACTTGCTGCCCATGGCCCCCCACGGGCCCAATCTCACTCTCACCCTCACTGCAGCTGACAGCCTCACTCTCCTCCACTTCCGTGTCCTCCTCAACCCCCTCACGGAGGCCTGTGTAGCAATACAAGATGTCAGGAAGTTTGTCCTGGCTAAGAGCATGGGTCTCTCCATCGCTCCTGCAAAAGGCTGAAGGAGAGGCGGTACGCATGGTGGCAAAACCTCCAGACAAGGCAGCACCAGCAGTTTGAGACTTCAGCTGCGAAGGCTCGTGAGAATTCCACGCTACACCAGGAGAACCACTGCCAGCAGCCGGGGCCTCACCATCAGAGGGGAAGCCTCTCGAGGTCACTGTTTCCGTGGCTGGCGATGTATCAACGTCCACCCCAAACATGGCAGGGCTTGTGGAAGGAAGGGGTTGACTTTGCTTCTGTAGCTGCTCTTGGACAGAGGCTCCTGCCACAACATCCTGGGGTTGGACTGGGATGTTTTCAAAGGAGAGAGGTAATACACTGTTTGTGGAACAAGGAGAGTTTTCTACTGGTACAAGACTCTCTGGAGAATTCGCACCTGCCTGCCTCCGAGAGGCAGAACCTTCCGGTGACGTCCTGTGCGTAGCAGCCACTCCCCCAAGCGTCTGTGTGCTGCCCTCCTCTCCTCTACCACCTTGTGATGTGCATGCCACAGGCTGAGTCCCAGAACCGAGAGTCTCTGTGGCTGACGTAGGCTCACTCCTGCACAGTGTGCGTGGCTCAGGGACAGCACTCTGGGCCTTGGCAGGTTTTGCCTGTTTTGTGATAACTGACACTTGATTGGGCAGCCACGAAGCAGCCTTGAACAGTACAGCACGGTTACCTTCCACAGCAGGCCCGAGTCTGGGCGCCGAGCCCCCGTTTTCTGCCGGTGGCGCTGTCTGCTGCAGCCGAGGGCTGGGCTGCTGTCTGGGCTCTGGTTTAGCTCCCAGACTGGCCCCCTCATTTCTCCTTAGCACAGCACTCTGGTGCCATGAAGGGCTTTCCGCAGAGCCAAAGCTGCTCCTGACCAGGCCCCTCCGAGCAGCTACTGAGGACGTGCAGTCCGACTTTTCACGTGTGAGCTTGGCTGTAGGGGCTTCGCTTTCCCACTGCCCGTTTCTCGTTGCTTTCATAAATACTGACTGAGGAACTGAAAACAGTGTGCTCGTGCCTTTGACAGTCTCTACCCACTGGATCCCACTATGACTCGGGCTGCTGAAATTCAAAGCCCCCAACTTGGGGCTCAAAGCATGCAGGTTGCTCTCTGGCTCACTGCTGCCTACAGAAATGGGTATAATCTCCGACTGCAGGCTGCTGGGGCTTGAGGCTTCAAGGGCTGGTCTCAGCTCTGGACAAGGTGCCTCTGAGGAGACCCTCCTGGATGGAGGATGTACACCGCCATCGTCCTCCAAGCCAGAGGCAGCCTGGGGACCGCCACAGACAGATGACACCTGGGAGGCCGAGGAGAAGCCAGCACTGACCTCCAGCTCTGCCGTGTCCGCTACATCCCCTGCACTCTCCTCCTCAGATTCGAGCGATTCTGATGCAAAGCCCTGCGCACCGTCTCTCCCCATCTCCAGTTCTCTGGACACTCTGTGGAAGAGCTCAGAAATAGCACGCACACGGTCGGATTCAGAAGCGATTTCGTTAGGGACTATCTGCCTAGCAAACTCTGCCTGGGGTGACCGTATTATTCTGGATAAGAGGGTTTTCCTCCCAGATTCAATGAGTTCACTCAGTGGCCTCTTGCCAAGAGGAGAGAGGCACAGTGCTGAGCACCTGGTGGTAGCTGAGTGGCCAGACACCGTCTCAACGCCCAGTGCGCTGGTGGGACCAGGCACTGTCTCCTCAGTCTGTACACACTTATCCACCTCCCTGACTGTGGCCTGCCTTTGCCCTTCGTCTGAAATGTCTCTTTTATTGACAGTCATGGACTGAGACAGTGGGGTCAGGAGCTCTTCACTGGCTAAAGAGGGAGAGGCTGGGGGGCCTCTCAGCATAGCTGTCGCTGCGTTGACTGCGCCCGTGTCTGGAGCTCGGGGAGCTGCGTGGGCTGCAGGCTGCTTAAACAGGGTACTGCTTCCTTTATTTCTAATGAATGAGCCAAAGTAGTTCTGAGATTCAGCTGTATCATCTTCAAAAACAGACTCAGCGGAATTGTGGTGCTGGCCAGAGTCATCCTCACTGGAGTCTGTGTACTCGCCAGAGTAGGTTTCCTTCAAAGAAGAGAAAAGTTATACCAGTTAACCAATAATTCAACAGGCAGAATGTTTCCATCAACTACGCATATTCATAAAAGTACGTGCTTCCTGAAGTATCCTAAGACACACCTGAGAAAAGGGGGTTTAGGCTCCAGACTGTCTTTTCACATAGGTGCGGTACCTCCTACAGTCCCCTATGGCCACAATTATCTACTGTCCTCCCCCTGCAGGTCCCTTCCCCACAGGCGTCATGGACGGCACCTCCTGCAACCGTCACAACACACCAGCACTGCCAGCATGTCAGGTGACATCAGGCCAACACTCCAGTCACACCTTTCTTGAATCATCCCTACTGTCGCGTTCACTCCTGCACCTCAGCATTTTCCCAGGGCCAGATGTAAGATGCTGTCATCAAATCAATCTCTCCGGCTTCACACCAGCCACCCTCTCTCCCCACAGGCCCTCCGCTCCAGACACTCTCCACTATCACCCTAACCTGTCCCCTCCTATCTGTGATTCACTGCCTCAATCATATGCCCACCCTGGGAGCTAATGTCACCAAGAACCACGTCTCCCAGGTCTGTTAAGCGTCAGGGCAGAGGGCTTTGTCCTCGGAAAAGTCTTCCACCTGTCAACCACTGAGTGTCCTGCTGCACTGTCTTCCACCTCCTTCCCTCCTGTCACTTGTGCAGGGTAATTTCCCGGACTCTGCCGGGCCACCCCCTTCCTCCTGCACACTCACTGGATGCCACCCAGCAGCCCAAGGGCCACGTGCTGGAGATCCTGCATGTTCCTTCCAGCACCACACCTTATGGGTCTAAAATGCACATGGCTAGTTCCACTCACAATCCGAGTGCAACTAACAGTCTAGGACATGCACCATCTGACATTCAAATCAAAGAGCAGAACTCACAGGTAAAGGCCCCAGGTGTGGCAAGGATATCGGAGGGGGTGAGGGCACTGGAGACAAAAGAGGAGGTGGGAGTCTGAAGAAGTCAATGGCAGCCTGAAGGTCTTCATCAAACAAGGGGTCATGGTCAGAGAAGGCCGTGCTCTCAGCGTCACTCTGACTCCATGTGACAAGCTCAGGATTTCTGTGCTCAGCTCGGGACCTTGCACCATGGGGCTTCGCTTTCCCCACATTTTTACATGAAGGAAAATCACCCTCTGTCTCCAGGGACAACTCTGCTAAGCCTGCCTGCTTGTCAGAAGCTTGGGGCGGCCCGGGCTGTGAGGGAGACAGGAGCCAACCTCCCACAGACTCTCTGCATCTGTCTGCTTTGGCAGATTGTTCTGTGAAAAAAAAAAAAAAAAAGAGTATCAAATATTTACAATATCAAGATGGCAAAACATATTCTAACAGTTTAAAGCATTAACAACTTAAGTTCAAGTAAGTAGAAATATGTTTTCAAAGGCAATCAACCTCTGCTCATCAAAAGATTTTATCAAGAAAGTGGGAGAGTTCCGGTAAGATGGCGGAATAGGCAGAAAGACTGCACAGACTGTCTTCAACAAAGAAAAGGGGAACCAATTAACACAGACACAGAAGATAATCCTGGACCCCTGAGCCTTGAAGGGAAGGATATTGAACTGGACTAAACCCCAACCAGCAGAAGAATTTGCATGAAAACACCAAAAAGGAGACATAGGGAGCTGCGGTCTGGCAGCAATCCTGAGCGATCCTGATGGCACAGACAGCTTGGATATTCCTGAGTGGTGGCAGGACATAAGAATTAACCTAAAAATCAGTACTGCTAGCCAGGAACTGATTGAGGACTGCTCTGGCGGTTGGGGAATAAAAGGAGAAGCAGCGAACAGGATTGGGGGCTGAGTTGTGGACTTTTGTTTGTCTGAAGGGAACAGCCGTTTTGATTGTTTACAAGCAGCTTGACCATTTTGGATATTTAAAGTGACAGCATTCTCCCAGATTCCAGGGACTTAAGAACAGGCTCCACTTGCTGGGAACCCCAAGGATATCCTGGACCCGCATGATTGGAAAGGTCCGAGATTCCTCTTGTTACTTTTATACCCCCCACACTCTTGGTGAACGGAGGTGTAGCCATTCTTCACTCTCAACCATTTTCTGGGCTGACAGGAACTCCATCCCAGTCTGTGTGCTCACAAGGAGCCTGGGGGGCCAGCCCCACCCTGCCTCAACTTTTTTTTTGTTTTCTGTTTTTTAGTTTGTTTATTTTTGTCTGTTTTAAAACTACTACTATTATTAAAACCGTTGTCCTTTTTACAATTATTCTTTATTCTTCCCCTCCCAGGTTGTAGTTTTCACTTTTTTCTTTTCCCTATTCCAGGTTGCAGCATTTGCCAGCATGTCAGGTGGCTGGCTTTTTTTTTTTTTTTTTTTTCTATCTTGTGGTTAAGCCCATTCCTTGTTTTTCTTTTTGCATTTTTCCCATTGTTTCTTCATTATTCTCCTTCTCTACCTTTTTTCACTTATTGCCCTCTCCCCAGATATTGCAGAGTTTTTTTCCATTTTTTTTCTTTTTGGATACTGTTACTGTGTGATTGAACAGTGTATTTTTTGTCCATTTGCTTTTACTTTTTTGATGGTTATTCAATTTTTATTTTTGTTTAACTGAGTGGGAGACAGCAACAGTCCCCATACGACACAACTACACCCACACTTCCTGCAGCTTCACTTACTGAGAGCCACCACTTCCTTCTCCACCAAGGGGCCAATGATAAACCACCATCAAGAAAAGCCTGAATCATCCTTGGCTGATCTTCACAAACAGTTAATAGACATCTTAACACAACAACGCCCCAATGTCCTGGAGACAACAGACCATCACAGTCCACACAAAGAAGCAGGATAAAGTGGTAGAAACAAGGGAGCAGGATACAGACCCAGAATACATCCCTGAGGAAGAAGCAGCATTGGAACTCTCTGATGAGGAATTCAAAAGAATTGTCTTTAGGTATCTTCAAAGGATTGAAAGACGGACCAAGGAAAACACAGACAAAACCCTATAAGAATTATGGAAGAAAATACAAGATAAAATGACAAAATAAATGAAAAAGTAGAAATGATTCTAAATCTACAGACAGAAATCCAGAAGATTAATACTAAATTGTCTGAAAGAGATAACACATTAAAAGGGCTAAGGAGTGGAATTGATGCAATGAAAGACAGAATTAAAGAGATTGAAGACAAATACCTGAATACTTCTTTGGAAAGGGATCAATCAGAAAAAAGATCAAAACAAAATGAAGAAAGCCTAAGGTTCATGTGGGATGCCATCAAAAGGAATAACCTATGTGTCACTGCAATTCCAGATAAGGAAGAGAAAAATAAAACCACGGAGAAAATTGTCCAAGATTTGTTGGAGGAGAACTTCCTTGATATGATGAAAGATGAGACTATATCCACTCAGGAAGTCCAATGAACCCCAAACAGGATAGACTCCAAAAGAAAACTACCAAAACATATCATCACCAAACACATCAAAACCAAAGACAAAAAGACAGAATCCTGAAAGCAGTATGGGAAAAATAAAAAGTCACTTACAAAGGACAGCCAGTAAGAATAAGCTCTGCCTTCTCAGCAGAAACCATGCAAGCGAGAAGGTAATGGGATGGTATATATAAAACTCTGAAAGAGAACATTTTTCAACCAAGAATTATATACCCAATAAAACTGTCCCTCAAATATGATGGTGAAATTAAGAGATTTTCAGATAAGCAGAAACTAAGGGAATTTGTTAAAACCAGACCAACCTTACAAGAGATACTAAAGGGAGTCCTCTGAACAGAGAACCAAAAATAGCAAATAACAATCAACCATTAATACACAAGATGACATAACCCAGAAACCATAGGTATGGACATATCCAAAGTAAAATGAGCTTACAATATTGTAAACAGGGAACCAGAGACATCAATTGGCAAGTGAGAACAACTACAAACCAAAAACGGAAAATACTGTGTAATGACAGAACTTCTAAATGGTGAGGAAGTCAAGAGAGTTGTAGGATAGAATGGAATGTTCTAACTTCTGGGAGAAAATTATAAATCACAGGGTAACCTCAAAGAAAAATAATAATGAGGCTTCACATCACAATAAAAAAGAGGACAAGCACAAATATTCAACAAATACTAAAACAACAGCCACAAAGGAAATTATGACATGATTCATAAACATAATGAGCTCAGCACAGAAAATAATATGGAACAAAGAAACCAGGGACGCCATGAAAAAACACATAACAAAATGACAGCAACCAATTCATACTTGTCAATAATTACACTGAATGTTAATGGATTAAACGCACCACTCAAGAGACAGAAAGTTGAAGACTGGGTAAGAAAACAAAACCCATCAATATGGTATCTACATAGGAGCTCTGGTAGCATAGTGCCTAAGGCACCTGACTGCTAAGCAGAAGGCCGGCAGTTCAAACCCACCAGCCACTCCTTGGAAGGAAGGTTGGGCAATCTACTTCTGTGGTGATACTGACTCGGCAACCCAAGGAGGGGTCACTATGAGTCGGGTATGACTTGATGGCACATAACAACAACAAAAACAACATGCTGTCTACAAAAGACACATCTTAGAGACAAAGACAAAAACAGACTAAAAATTAAAGGTGGGAAAAAGAGGTATCAAGCAAATGGCAACCATAAAAGAAAGGAATGGCAATATTAATTTCTGATCAAATTGACTTTAAGACAAAAACCACCATATGAAACAAGCAAGGACATTACATAATGATTAAAGGAGCAACTGAACATGAAGATATAACCATAATAATAAATATGTATGGACCCAATGAAAGAGCCCCAAAATACAAAAATCAGACGTTAAAAGGGTTGAAAAGCCAAATAGATGACTCCACAGTCATAGCGGGAGACTTAAATACACCACTTTCTTTGAAAGAGAGAACAACTGGAAAGAAACTCAACAAAGATGCAGAAAAGCTAAACAATACACTCCACCAACGTGGCCTTATAGACATCTGCACAGCACTTCACCCAACAGCAGCACAATATACATTCTTCTCCAATGCACATGGAACTTTTTCCATGATAGACCATATGTTAGGCCATAAAGCAAGCCTTAATAAATTAAAAACATTGAAATACTGCAAAGCATCTTCTCAGATTATAATGCTATTAAATTAGAAATCAACAATAGGAAGATCAACAGGAAAAGATAAACACATGGATACTGAACAACACTCTCTTTGAGAAAGACTGGGTAAAAGAAGAAATCAAAATTGAAATTCGAAAATTCCTTGAATCAAACGAGAAAGAAAACAAAACATACCAAAATCTTTGGGACACAGCAAAAACTGTGATCAGAGGCCAATTTAAAGCAATAAATGCACACATCAAAAAACAAGAAAGAGCCAAAATCAACACTTTAAACCAACTTCTCCAACAATTAGAAAAAGAACAGCAAGAAAAGCCTACAGTCACCAGAAGAAAGGAACTAATAAAAATTTGCATAGAAATCAGTGGAACAGAAAATACAAGGGCAACAGAAAAAAATCAACAAGACCAGAAGTTGGTTTTTTGTAAAGATCAATAAAACTAACAAACTACTGGCAAATTTAACAAAGGAAAAGAGGGAGAGAATACAAATAACACGAGTAAGAAGCGAAATAGGTGACATCACAACAGAACCAACTGAAATAAAAAGGATAATATCAGTGTACTATGAAGAACTGTACTCCAGCAAATTTGAAAATCTGGAAGAAATGGACAGTTTTCTAGAAACACACCACTTACCTAAATTAGCACAAACTGATGTGAAAAAGTTGAACAGATCCATAACAAAAAAGAAATTGAACAGGTCATCAAAAAATTACCAAGAAAAAAAGTCCTGGCCCAGACGGTTTCACCGGAGAATTCTACAAAACATTCAGAGAAGAACTGATACCAATCCTATTCAAACTATTCCAAAACACAGAAAAGGATGGAATCCCGTCTAACCCATATTATGAAGCAAGCATAACCTTTATACCAAAACCAGGCAAAGACATCACTCAAAAGGAAAACTATACACCAACATCCCTCATGAATATAGATGCAGAAATCTTCAACAAAATCCTAGCCAATAGACTCCAACAATATATCAAGAAAATCATTCATTACGACCAAGAGGGGTTCATATCAGGTATGCAGGGATGGTTCAAAATTAGAAAAACAATCAATGTCATTCACCACGTAAATAAAAAAAAAAATAACCTCATGATTGTATCAATTGATGCAGAAAAGGCATTTGATAAAATCCA